AACCATCACCAGCCATTTGCTTTTCTGCAGCACAGTGCATCATGCATAGCTAAGTGTCAATAGGGGACTACACTTACCTTTCAATTTACTTCTCACCCTTGTTCTTTTTCGGGTATAGTCAACTGATTTTGGCATCGACTGTATCTGAGAGTCAAGGATCCAGCTTTTTTCACTCTGACCAGTGCTTGCGTTCTCATTGCTGCTTTCAGAGAAAAGATGTTTCCTGTAACTGGACTAAAGACACATTTAAGAGTGAGTTCTGCTTGGTCAGCTCACTGAGAAGACCTTCAGCCATTCCTCTTCAACTACTGTCAAGTTACTCCATGTAAAGTATTTTAAGCTGTGAAGTCTGCCAAAACAGTAATTATTAGCTGTCAAACCAGTAATTATTAGCTGTCAAACCAACAGAATAAAAACACGGAGAGGCAGATGATTGCCCTTTGCCAATATGGGGTTTTTGAGCATCCTCCTTCCTCATCTTCCCCTCTTTACTGGGTTTAAAAGTGCTCTTACAAGAAGGAAAAACACAGCATGCCTGAGCTGCAGCCAACAGCACGTCAGTGGTTGGGGGGGGAGGAAATGTAACAGACAATTCACTCGCTGGCAGCGATGGTGCACCCTGAGCACTGCTTTCAGTAACAACAAACAGGCTGTTTAGAGGCTACCAGGCTCGTATTCCTCCACCTCTGCCCTGGGTAAGGTTTAAAACTCAGCCTCTTTAAGGGTGCAATAGATTTGTACAGATGGACAAACACATAAATCAAAGGTTCTAGGGTTGAAAAGGCACAGAAAACCTACCTGCCTTCTCTTGGGCCGATTTGATTCTTTGTTCTTGTTGTCTTCTTCAAAAGTCCTGGCAAGTAGTACATAAAGACCCAAATTTGACAAGCGAACACTAACGCTAGCACACCACAGAAGGGGCACAGTCAAACAGAAAGGGCCAGAAGGCTCCTTGAGAGATCAGCACAAGAACCAAACTCTTTAACATGCAGTCACTAGCCAAATTTTTCTTTGTTTGGTTTTTGAAGGTAGCAATTCAGAGATATTTAGAAATCAGAATTTTTTAAAACGGAAATATATCTACATACTTAGAGGTGCAAGTTCCTGGCAGCTTGCTATAACTGGGAGGCAGCCAAAGCAAGGCAGGGTGTTTAAGCATTTTTCAAAAATGAAGTCAGTAGTTTACACATATGATCAGAGAAGGATGATATTTAAGAGTTAAAGTCATGTTAAAATCTTATTATAGTCAAAGTAGACAGGAGTCTGTTCTTTCCCATCACCTTTATATTCTCAGTTACTATTTTAAAGTTGGAACCAATAACATCCACAGATACTGTGGTAGCTAAGCAAGGAACTATTAGAAAAATCACACGGCCTTTTTGATCCTAACTTTAAAAAGCTTAACAAAAGCTATGAACTCTTTTTCACACAGCAGAAAGTTCTAAATGGTGCATGTATTATCCTGTACCTCTGATTTTGTGAAGAAGCTTTTTGACCAAGAATCTTTCCTTTGGCTTCAGCAACCTGAAAAAAAAGCAGATAAAATAATCTACATAACTATATCTAACAAACTCAGGAGTCCAGCATGGAAATTTCATTTTTTAATGGAGAGGGATTTCTTGATCGAAACAGTGTCATAAATTGTAATAGACAAACACTTGTCTGAAACAGAGTTACTTTCTCCTTTCCTTGCTTTATGAGTAGTGCTCATTTTAAGCACTAACGTCATAAGAAACATCATTTTAATCAATAACACCACTGCTAGTAGCATGTGTAAACACAGAACACGGTCCCTGGACAGCCTTAGGACAGGGCTGCTGGGATACGGGGCAGGGTGCCATGGAACAGGGATTTATGCTGACACCCAGTGGCAGTAGCAAGGACTGGGGAATGTCCGGTTTAGAGGAGAAAATCGGGGTGTCCTAATCATCACCCATTGCCATAGATTAGCAGCAGGTGGCAGTGACATCTCCACACTAGGGAAGAGGTTGAAAGCCAAATGGTGTCTGCGGCAGAGCCACCTTGGTGGAAGCCATCAGGAGCACGTTTACACTTCCTGGGAAAATCCACACAGGCTAAAGTTTCAAAGCATGCAAAGCGACTTTTTTTTTTTTTTTTTTCCCATTTTTAAAAGTGTGCAAAATGTAAGTCAAGTAGAACTTCCAAAAAAAATTCTGTGAGGACTGCCTTTTAACCAGGGATTCCCAGTTCGCAAAGCATGGCTTGAAATGGATTTCAATCTCTTCTGTCTAGCCTAGGAGCACAAAGTGCATGCTCAGCAATCTCTTTTTGATATTCAGCAAAACGTAAAGGCTGGCCTTCAGTCACAGAGGTATCCTCACTCAAGCAACAGCTCAGATTTCTATTGGTGACATCATACATTACCCACCAGAAAACTCAAGCAGTGATGAGCATTCTCCCTACTAAAATGCTAATAATAAAAAAATCCATTTCCACTATACAGAGAAAAACAAAACAAAAACAAGTCTCAGATTCCCAGTTGTCTGTTTTGCTATAACAGTGTGTCCACCCTTACAGCATTTCTGCAGCAAACTATATCCCCTGCTGCAAGTAACTACTCTGTTAGGTGTTGTTGGGACCACAGCAACAGCTCTCAACAACTTCTGTTCTCAACTTTACCTTCTCATGACTTGAAGAGTCTGAGTTTTCAAAGTCAAAGACTTCCTTCCTGCAAGACAACATATATGTGGAAGTGACATACAATCATGAAGAATCACCTTATAGAACTTCACTAAGATTATGGGGGTGATAATGTGGTTTGTTTCTGTCCCACTCCCACTACAGGTTCAAATACTTTATATGACTAAAAAGACTATTTTCACAGCTCCTAAAAAAAAAAAAATACTTTGCCATTTCCTGCCTATTTTTTCTTGTTCTCTGTCTTGATTTTCACTGTTTCAATTTTAACTCTCATTTTAAGCAAAATTTTCAAAATATACGAATTAGACTATCCCTGTTTACATAGAGGACATTTTCTCCCCACATCACCAATAAGAGTACATGGTAGGAAGAAACAAATAATTAAAATATAATATCAGAAGCATTTTTTAAAAATCCATTTTATTTCCTTTTGAAAATTCCAATATTTATTGTTTGTTCTCTAATTACTTCTCTGTGTATATCTAGGTTTAGTTTTATGTCTTTCAACGTTTAAACTTTACTGTACCTTTGTTGCTTTCTCAAAATTGTAACTATTTAAAATATCCTAGAACTACTGTTTAACAAACAGTACACGTTCTCTTTACTAATGAAAGAACGGGA